GGTGTAGGGTGTAGACATCCTGTGAAAATGCAGCATGTCTCATTAAGAGCAACATCCAATGTTTTTACATGGTGAGATGTATTCCAGCCTGGGCATGAATATTCAGCAACAGAATAGCAAAGCGCAAGGGCAGATAACTCCACTGTATCTGGTTGTGATCCCCAGGTTGTCCCAGTCAGCTTTCATATGATAGTATTTCTGGCACCCACTTTTTGTTTGGCATTCAAGTAATGCTTCTTGTAAGTCAGAGCATGGTCCAGAGTAACTCCCAGGTATTTGGGTGTGCTGCAATGCTCAAGTGGGATTCCTTCCCAGGTCATCCTCAGAGCTCAAGATGCTTGTCTGTTCTTGAGATGAAAAGCACACATCTGTGTTTTAGATGGATTAGGAATCAGCTAGTTTTCCCCGTAATAGGCAGTAAGAGCACCTGAAGCTTCAAAGGGTTTCTGTTCAACCATTTCAAAGCTCCCTTCTTGGGCAGTGATGGCATGATTGTCAGCATAGATGAAACTCTCTGTCCCTTCTGGCAATGGCTGATCATTTGTGTAAATGTTGAACATTGGTGGAGCAAGCATGCTCCCCTGAGAGAGGCAATTTTTCTGTTTTCACCATCTGCGTCTCTGACCCTGGAACTCAACAAAAAACTCCTGCTTTGTAGCAGATTTCCTATGTGGATTATCTGCTTTGATAATCTGGATTATATGGCAGTGTAGAAGAGGTCCCTGATAAGAAGTTGTCAGAGCATTGTAATTGAAGTCCCTCTCTATTGATAGGGCCATCAGTGATATATCAATGCTCCATCTGTTCATTTTGGGGGAATGCTAATCTAAGAACACTGTTCCCAAACTACAAGCCTGGTTCTTTAAACCAGAAATAAGAAAAATGTAGCAAAATAGTTTAAGTTCATCCCTGAATCCCCAAAATTTGATGATACCTAATGCCGACCAGTAATAGCTTTTCGATGTGCCAGTTTCCAGGTGACTTTCACCTCAAAACCTGCCAAATGTACTGGAATGGGGCAGTCCATCAAGCCAGGTTAAATTGGGCCATCCCTAGGCAAATTCCCATACCTGCTTAGAAGGGTTGAAGGGTAATCCCCTCCAAAATAAGTATTTTTCCCTTGCGAGAAAAGCACCTACCCATTTCTCGCTTTACTGAGACTCAGTTCTTGGTTTTCCTACATCAAGGCATCAATTCACCTGCAAAGAACAGAGAGAGAATTCATTCACATATTGGCAACGCACCTTGGTAGGCCACCTGCTGCCTCCAAAATAAATGCAGCAATGAATCCACCCTTGATTTTAATCTGAACTCTAAAGGAACTTTCCAAAGTGACGATGCTATTGCTCCCCTCAAAAAAGGGTTCATCATCTTGTCTAGCCCCATCTCTGTTCAGACTTAAACTCAGAACAGATTCACTCCCTTATGCTGGAGAGTGAGATACTGAAACTCACTAACATCTAGAATTCTTCTGTTTAGCATGTTTGCATTTCCTTCATCTCAACCCTGTTTAAAAATACTCATCTGAAATTTCAAGTGATTCTTATGCTAGAAATTTGGGGGCTAAGAAAGAATTCTTATTGGGGAGGGTAATGTTTTCAGTTTGCACAGACCTCCTGTAGTTATAGCCCTGACTAAAGCTGCATCTACACTGTAAACTGATGCCAGTTTTGGAATCAGCATGTTAAACATACCCAGATAGAGGGCTAACATTGGAGGCCCCCAAAATGTGAGTTGGCCAGTGTATTGTCAAAGGCTTTCAGGGCCAGAATCACAGGGTTGTTGCGGGTTTTTCGGGCTCTATGGCCATGTTCTAGAAGCATTCTCTCCTGACGTTTTGCCTGCATCTATGGCAGTCATAGATCCGCCTAGTCAAAGCCATGGTATTCCCTGTAGTAACCTACGGATGTGAGAGCTGGACCTTAGGGAAGGCTGAGCGAAGGAAGATAGATGCTTTTGAACTGTGGTGTTGGAGGAAAGTTCTGAGAGTGCCTTGGACTGCGAGAAGATCCAACCAGTCCATCCTCCAGGAAATAAAGCCCGACTGCTCATTGGAGGGAAGGATACTAGAGACAAAGTCGAAGTACTTTGGCCACATCATGAGGAGACAGCAAAGCCTAGAGAAGACAATTATGCTGGGGAAAGTGGAAGGCAAAAGGAAGAGGGGCCGACCAAGGGCAAGATGGATGGATGGCATCCTTGAAGTGACTGGACTGACCTTGAAGGAGCTGGGGGTGGTGACAACCGACAGGGAGCTCTGGCGTGGGCTGGTCCATGAGGTCACGAAGAGTTGGAGACGACTGAATGAATGAACAACAACAACATGGCAGTCATCCTCAGAGGTTGTGAGGTCTGTTGGAAGCTAGGAAAATTGGGTTTAAATATCTATGGAAGGTTCCAGGTGGGAGAAAGAACTCTTGCCATTGGGGCTAAGTGTGAATGTTTCAATTGGCCACCTTGATTAGCATTTGTTGGCCTGACAGGTTTTAGGTGTGGCTTATTACTGCCTGGGGGAATACTTTGTTGAGAGGTGATTAGCTGTCCCTGATTGTTTCTTGTCTGGAGTCCCCCTGTGTTTGAGTATTGTTCTTTATTTACAGTTATAATTTTAGAGGTTTTTTTAATACTAGTAGCCAGATTTTGTTCAGTGTATTGTTGAAGGTATTGTCGAAGGCTTTCATGGCCGGAATCACTGGGTTGTTGTAGGTTTTTCCGGGTTATATGGCCATGTTCTAGAGGCATTTTCTCCTGATGTTTCGCCTGCATCTGTGGCAAGCATCCTCAGAGGCAGTGAAGTCTGTTGGAAGTAGGAAAATGGGTTTATATATCTGTGGAATGACCAGGGTGGGACAAAGGACTCTTGTCTGCTGGAGTTAGGTGTGAATGTTTCAACTGACTGCCGTGATTAGCATTTGATGGCTTGACAGTGCCTGGGGGAATCTTTTGTTGAGAGGTGATTAGATGTGCCTGATTGTTTACTCTCTGTTGTTTTGTTGTTGTAATTTTAGAGTTTTTTTAATACTGGTAGCCAGATTTTGTTCATTTTCATGGTTTCCTCCTTTCTGTTGAAATTGTCCACATGCTTGTGGATTTCAATGGCTTCTCTGTGTAGTCTGACATGGTGGTTGTGAGAGTGTTCCAGCATTTCTGTGTTCTCAAATAATATGCTGTGTCCAGGTTGGTTCATCAGGTGCTCTGCTATGGCTGACTTCTCTGGTTGAAGTAGTCTGCAGTGCCTTTCATGTTCCTTGATCGTGTCTGGGCGCTGCGTTTGGTGGTCCCTATGTAGACTTGTCCACAGCTGCATGGTATACGGTAGACTCCTGCAGAGGTGAGAAGATCCCTCTTGTCCTTTGCTGAACGTAGCATTTGTTGGATTTTCTTGGTGGGTCTGTAGATTGTTTGTATGTTGTGTTTCCTCATCAGCTTCCCTATGCGGTCAGTGGTTCCCTTGATGTATGGCAGGAACACTTTTCCTGCCATACATCCTTTTCCTGCCATACATACAAAGTCTCGCAGGGCTGGGAGGACAATAGCTTTATAAACAAGCACCTTGGTATCCCTACGGATGTCCCGATCCTAAAACACTCTCTGCTTTATTCGGAAAAATGCTGCACTCGCAGAGCTCAGGCGGTGTTGTATTTCAGTGTCAATGTTGACTTTGGTGGAGAGGTGGCTGCCAAGGGAGCAGAAATGGTCAACATTTTCTAAGGTTACACCATTAAGCTGTATTTCCAGCATTGGAGATGGAATGGCTGGTGACTGCTGGAAGAGCACTTTGGTTTTCTCAATGTTTAATGACAGGCTGAGTTTCTCGTATGCTTCTGCGAAGGTGTTTAGAGTAAGACAAGGTTTAGAGTAACATGTCAGGCATGTAGCGGGGGGGGGGGGGGCTTGAGGGGCTTCACCCCCCCCCCCCCGAAATTCTCATGGTGGTTCGCGAAAAGGCCTTACTGGTGCATTATTTAAACTGTTATGTTTATTCATATCATGATCTGATCACCATACTCAATATATCCCATATGCATGGGGGTATTGGGGTAACGATACAAAAGGTTTGCTAGGGTAGACCCTCTTTCACTCAGACTCAGCCCCCCCCTGAAACTCCCCCCCCCGAAATCCCCTCTGAAAAAAATTCAGCCCCCCCCCCCCCAACGAAATCCTGGCTACGGGCCTGCCAGGGGTGATGTTCTTACTAATTTTGGGTCTGTGGCCCATGTGCTGCCAGTAACTTTCTTCAGGATGTTATTGCGTGCAGCTACTTTGTGTGCTTGGTGTTCGAGCAGTGTTTCCTATATGCTAGTGTTCGATCTAAGGCAGTGGTTCTCAACCTGTGGGTCCGCAGATGTTTTGGCCTTCAACTCCCAGAAATCCTAACAGCTGGTAAACTGGCTGGGATTTCTGGGAGTTGTTGGCCAAAACACCTGTGGACCCACAGGTTGAGAACCACTGATCTAAGGTGACACCAAGATATTTAGGATGGAAGCAATGTTCAAGCTCTTGACCTTCGCAGGTGATTTTCAATTTCCTGATGGCTTCAAGGTTGCGTAAGTGGAAAGCACACACTTGTGTCTTGGCCCGTGTTGGATAGATGTCTGTAAAGTGGAAATGGAAAGCCCACAAGTGCAAGGGAAACCCAGGATCCCAATAACAATGGGATTGAGCCGGACTGGGAGTGGAGGGGCTTTTCCTAAAGCCAAGAGGAGAAAGCAGAGTCACCCAAACCCCACAGGCTTCTTTCTTTCTCTTCCCTCCGGCTTGGCCCCTGAATCCCCACCCTTTGGCCCCTTCTTCTGCGCTCCTGGCCGGTCCTTTGGGTGCCAAGTTGCTCCAGAGAGGTGAGCCTCGAGAGAAGGAGGAGGAGGAGGAGGAAGGGGATTAGGTTCCCTTTTCCGGGAAGGCGAGCGGCCAGGACCGGGTGATGTCAGCCGCCTGGAATGCCTGGTCCCCGGGCAAGAGGAAGAGGAGGAGGAGGAGGAAGGGGGGAGGGGGGGGGAAGCCGGGCGCCCGCTATAAAACTCCCGCGCCGGGGAAGGAGCCCGCAACAAGCGGCGCAAAGCCGGACCCAGCGCGATGGAGGTGCTCCCAGGTAGGGCGAATCTCCCCCTCACCCTTCCCTTGGACTTTCCTGCAAAGCCAGGGCTGCCCCTTTGTATTGTTGGGGGGCAAAAAGAGCCTGCGGGGTGGTCTGAAGGGTTGCTTCTAGGCAGAAGCTGGATGGGAGCACTTTGCTTGTGTCTTTCTGCATGGTTGGAACGAGTGTCTTGTCTTGTATGGTTGACTGGGTGGCCCCTTAGGGTCTCTTCCAACTCTAGGGTCTTAGGGTCTCTTCCAACTCTTCTATTCTACTTTGGTTCTATCTATAAGAGTCTATGGTGACTATCTACAATGTAGAACAGGCCTGGGCCAACTTGAGCCTCCCTCCAGGTGTTTTGGACTCCAACTCCCACATTCCTAACAGCGGCCTGAGGCTGTTAGGAATGGTGGGAGTTGGAGTCCAAAACACCTGGAGGGAGGCCCAAGTTTGCCCATGCTTTCACTAGAGAGTCTCTTTAGGGTCACCATAAATCAGAAACAACTTGAAAGCACACAACAACAAAGTATTCTGCATAGATATTCCCTTACACTAGGGTTGCCAACTGACCAGAAGACTTTCACAGTTTGTTCCTCTGCTTGGAGAGAGCAATCCCTTCTCATCTGAGGGTGAAACTGCCATGCCCATACACACTATGGCATATTTCAACATATTATTATATTATATTGTTGTATATTATATTATAATATTATTATATTATAATATTATATATTATATTATTATAATATTATATATTATATTATTATAATATTATTATTATATTATATATATTATAATATAATATTATATTATTGTATATTATATTATTATAATATTATTATTATATTATATATACCAGAAGACTTTCACAGTTTGTTCCTCTGCTTGGAGAGAGCAATCCCTTCTCATCTGAGGGTGAAACTGCCATGCCCATACACACTATGGCATATTTCAACAGCTCCCATCATCCAGGTGTTTTTGGGTCTCCAGCTTCCACAGTCCTTTATTTATTTATTTATTTATTTATTTATTTATTTATTTATTTATTTACAGTATTTATATTCCTTATTAAGAACTTCCTGACTGTGAGAGCCATTCAGCAGTGGAACTCTCTGCCCCAGAGTGTGGGGGAGGCTCCTTCTTTGGAAGCTTTTAAACAGAGGCTGGATGGCCATCTGTCAGGGGTGATTTGAATGCAATATTCCTGCTTCTTGGCAGAGGGTTGGACTGGATGGCCCATGAGGTCTCTTCCAACTCTATGATTCTATGATTCTATGATATACTATTATATATTATTTATTATTACTTATTTACGGTATTTATATTCCTTATTATTTATTATATATTATTATATATTATATATTATTACTTATTTACAGTATTTGTATTCCTTATTATTACATATTATTATATATTATATTTATTATTATATATTAGTGAGCCCCCGGTGGCGCAGTAGGTTAAAGCATTGAACTGCTGAACTTGTTGACTGAAAGGTCGCAGGTTCGAATACAGGGAGCGGTGTGAGCTTCCGCTGTTAGCCCCAGCTTCTGCCAACATATCACTTCAAAAACATGCAAATGGAGCTCTGTTACCTTTCCGTAGAAGTGGTACATATTGATCTACTTACATTTGCATGTTTTCCAACTGCTAAGTTGGCAGAAGCTGGGGCTGACAGCGGAAGCTCACACTGCTCCCTAGATTTGAACCTGCAACCTTTTGGTCAACAAGTTTAGCAGCTCAGTGCTTTAACTCATTGCACCACCGGGGGCTCCTTATAACAATGCATAATAATCTATTATTATTATATGTTATTACATGCAATAATTGTGTTATGGGCCCACTGGTGGCACGGCAGGTTAAACCACTGAGCTGCTGAACTTGTTGGCCGAAAGATTGGCAGTTCAAATCCAGGGAGTGGGGTGAGTTCCCACTGTTAGCCCCAGCTTCTGCCAACCTAGCAGTTCGAAAACATGCAAATGTGATTAGATCAATAGGTACCGCTCCGGTGGAAAGGTAACGGCACTCCATGCTGTCATACTGGCCACATGACCTTGGAGGTGTCTACGGACAATGCTGGCTGTTTGGCTTAGACATGGAGATGACCACCACATCCCAGAGTTGGACACGACTGGACTTCATGTCGGGGGGGGGGGGGAACCTTTCCCTTTAATATTATATATTATATATTACTATTTATTTACAGTATTTGTATTCCTTATTATTATATATGATTTATTATTATTTATGTACAGTATCTATATTCCTTAAACACTGGCTTCTGCGAGTTGAAGTCCAAAACATCAGGTAGACCAAAGTTTTGTAAATACTGCTATAGAATTGGATGCAGCTTGAAACACCACCGCTCCATGTGTGCACTTGCATTTGACTATGGATGCCGTTTTGACTCAATTCTGTCATATCCTGAGAGTAGTACTTCTACCAGGTTTTTAGCAAACTACAACTCCCAGGATTCCATAACATTGAGCAGGAGCCCCTGGTGGTGCAATGAGTTCAACCCTTGTGCCGGCAGGACTGAAGACCGACAGGTCGGAGGTTCGGATCCGCGGAGAGCGTGGATGAGCTCCCTCTGTCAGCTCCAGCTCCCCATGCGGGGACATAAGAGAAGGCTCCCATAAGGATGTAAAACATCGAAACATCTGGGTGTCCCCTGGGTAACATCTTTGCAGACGGCCAATTCTCTCACACCAGAAGCAACTTGCAGTTTCTCAAGTTGCTCCTGAGCCATGGCAGTTGAAGTGATTTTTTTCTGACTTGAGAAACTGCAACTTGCTTCTGGTGTGAGAGAAAGGGCCATCTGCAAGGACGTTGCCCAGGGGACTCCTGGATTTGGGAGACTTCTCTCCATTCTGTGGGAGACTTCTCTCATGTCCCTGCATGAGAAGCTGGAGCTGACAGACTGGAGCTCACTCTGTTCCCCAGATTTGAACTCACAACCTCTCAGTCAGCAGTCCTGCTGGCACAAGTGTTTATTTAACTAATTGCACAACCGGGGGCTCCTTACTTAAAGCGGAGCCAAACTGCATTTGCTCTACAGTGTAGAGAGAGATGGGCCATAGGGCTGCCAACTTTGTGAGATATCTTCTCTTATTTTCACATTAGGTCTTCCCTGCCTTTGATGGAAGTCTCTCAGGCAGGAATTCCAACTATTTCGTCATTGCCTCCCAGCACACTTCTCTGGCTGCATCTCTATCTGTATAAGTTACTTATTTTTAATACATACACCTTTACATTTGCCCAACGTCATCAGAGGCTCTTGGGGCCCTTCCACACAGCCATATAATCCAGAATATCAAGGCAGAAAATGCCACAATATCTACTTTTGAACTGGGTTATATCAGAAGCATTAGACTTGAAGGGAAAACAAAAGTGAATTCCAGCACTTGCGGGATTTTCAGCTGGGTTGAACTTTAAACAGAATAGAAGGCTTGTGTTGTGGAAGGCTTTCGTGGCCAGAATCACTGGGTTGCTGTGAGTTTTCCGGACTGTCTGGCCATTTTCCGGAAGCATTCTCTCCTGACGCTTTGCCTGCATCTATGACAGGCATCCTCAGAGGTTGTGAGGTTCTGAGGATGCCTGCCATCTATTGCTCCCTCCAAGCACAGGAACAAACTGTGAAAGTCTTCTGGTCAGTTGGCAACCCTGTAAGTGAATATCTATGCAGAATACTTTGTTGTGTGCCTTCAAGTTGTTTCTGATTTATGGTTACCCTAAAGAGACTTTATAGTGAAAGTAGGGGCAAACTTGGACCCTCCAGGTGTTTTGGACTTCAACTCCCACAATTCCTAACAGCCTCAGGCCCCTTCCTTTTCTCCCTCAGCCGCTTAAGCGGCTGAGGGAGAAAAGGAAAGGGCCTGAGGCTGTTAGGAATTGTGGGAGTTGAAGTCCAAAACACCTGGAGAGCTCAAGTTTGCCCATGGCTGCTATGGTTTGCCCATTGACCCAGTGGCCAAGCAGGGATTCGAACCCTGGTCTCCAGAGTCATAGCCCAATTCCCAAACCACTGCACCACTCTGTTGCTGAAGAATAAAATCACAAATAAAATTACATCTTTTTAAAAGGAATGTGAAAATTGAAGGAATATGCACAGAGAGAACATACCTTAGTAGCCAAGCCTTATGGGACTAGCTTTTGAGAAAGGACTGTGCAAAACAAGGTCACATTCCTCATTCAATTGAATTACTGGTAGATTCTATGGCAGTGGAACATTAGAACCTGCTCCGGATTTTAGTCTCGTCATTGAAAGAACTCCCTGTTTAGGGGCTAGGACTGGGTGCTTGATCTAGCTCCTGTAAAGCAGTATGTGTGGAAAAGATATCGGAGTTCTTGTGGATGACAAGTTAAACATGAGCCAACAATGTGTGGTGGTAGCTTAAAAGGACAACGGGATTTTGGCCTGCATAAAAAGGAATATAGCAGGGGTTCTCAAACTAAGGCGGGATGCAGCCCGCCAAGGTCATTTACCCGGCGCTTGTTCAGGGTCAACCTAAGTCTGAAATGACTTGAAAGCACACAACAACAACAACAACAACAACAACAACAACAACCCTATCTCATGAGCCAAAAGCAGGCCCACACTTCCTATTGAAATACTAATAAGCAGAGGCGGCCCTAGGTAATTTTCAACGGTAAGCAAACAGTATTTTGCCCTCCTCACAACTTTTGGCACCCCCCCCCCCCAATCATTGATTTGAATGCAATATTTGAATGCATTTGAATGCAATATTCCTGCTTCTTGGCAGGGGGTTGGACTGGATGGCCCATGAGGTCTCTTCCAACACTTTGATTCTATGATTCTATGATATATATTTTCTATTCATCGTGGGAGTTCTGTGTGCCGTATTTGGTTCAATTCCATCACTGGTGGAGTTCAGAATGCTCTTTGATTGTAGGTGAACTATACATCCCAATAACTACAACTTATGTCAAGGTCTGTTTTCCCCCAAGAGCACCTCAAGAGCACCCCTGGGCAAAATAAACTGTACTGCAAATGC